CCACCCTCCCACCCCCCGCTGAGCTGATGTTGCATTGTTGCATATCCCAGCTACTCTGTGGGTTTTGTGAAGCTGTGTGTGAAGTCTCTACCTCATTGTAGTATATGCAGGCAAGACTGCACTCTCCTACAGATGTGTGGAGTAAGCTGTGGTGTAGTTTTTTTGGCACATAATAAACACGTTGCAGCAGAGTTCTGGTCTTGTCTCTGTGTCTGAGGGGGGCTGGCAGGGGCAGTGGGGTAATAAGTAAGACTGCAGAGTAAAAACCCACATTTCCTTGGGTTTTCTGTGTTGGGATTCCAGCCCAGGTGGATGAAGGCACCATGTGGGAGACCTGCCCCTGTAAGTACTTCTTGGTCACTTCCATGGTCAAGTGCACCTTGGAGACGCCTCTCTGGCAGGTGGGTACCACCAGTGCAAGTGTAAGAAGTCCTCAATTAAGCTTCTTGGGGCTCCTCGTCTCGTAGCCCCAGACCCAGCTTGGAGGAACTGGAGGCACAGCTGCCTAGGCTTTGGCACGAGCCACTTGTCTCAGCTTCTCCTGTGAGCCTTGAGCTTGTTTCTTCATGTTGGGAGGCTTCCCATCCGCTGGGACTCACCTGTGCTGATCCAGTTCCTTCCTGGTATAGTACTTTACACTATTCTTCAGAGAGTTGTCCTCTCAGGCTCCCAAGATTTTGAGAGGATCTGCTGATTTTGTCAGGTGGGTTGTGCCTGGGCCCAGCGGCTGGACTGATCCTTTGGAAGATTGTGTTTTAGTCTGAGGTGCAGGGAACACTGTGCACTGAAGCATCCCTTCTGTGAGAGGTGCAAGAGCTCACTGTGATAGGGATCGTGAGTCCCTCAGCCAAAGAGAGGCCTCACGTTTAATTTGAGGCCTGGCTGGCAGCAGCTTGGTTTGAAGTAAGTTCCTGCAACTCTAAGGAGAGTCAGCCCTCTCTCTTGATCTCTGCTTATTCTGCTACTCCATAGAGAGGGGCTTCCTGTCCCAATCAGTTCACAACTACAGGACTGACCAAGGTGACAAGTTAGGTGATTGATAGATGAGGCACACCCCTGTGCCTTGATTCATCCAGCCTGGCCAGCCCAGCCTTTCCTTGAGTCACGTGGGGGGCCCAGGACTCACTTCAGCAGAGTTACAGGGAGGGGGCAGGGTACTCCCTAGGCTGATGAGTTCACCATCGGTGGCCTGTGCTGGTGGCTTCAGAGAGCCTGACTTTAAGAGTATGGCAGCAACAGCCTGAAGACTTGGTGGTTAGAGAAGGTGCCTCAGTTGTTGGGAACATTACGTACAGGTGAACTGGACCTTTCGCTTACATATTTGAGAGCTTGATTTGTACTAGGCAGTGTTCCAGGTACTGGGGAGTAGCTAAACCAAATGGCCCTTGCTGTCATGGAGCTCACCCCTAGTTGAGAAAACAGACAAGTCACTGTGACAAGTACTAAGAAATATTAGAGCAGCTTTAAAAGGATAGCAATGCTATTTTATATAAATGGGAGGGAAAGCCCCTCTGATAAGGTAACGTTTAAGCAGTGACTAGGAAGAAATGAGATAAGCTTCTCCCAGTTGTACCCAGGGTTCCAGCAGGCTACCGGACAAGTCTCTGATTCGAGGACTGGGTGGGGGTCCTGGGCGGGGTACCATCCCCTACTTCCTCATCTCTCTACGCTCCTGAATCACCTTCCCAAAGACTCGAATCCTCCCTCCCTTCCCCTGGCGTGCGTGGAAGAGATGCACCCCTCTTGGTCTGGAGCACATCAAACAGGCAATCGAGTCACAGAACCAAGGGGCTAGAGAAGCGAGCCCATGACGTCTGTAGGCGGGGCGGGGCTCGGGGGCTGAGGAGACCCGCCTACTGGGGGGGCGGACCAGGCACTCGCCACGCCCACCGGGTGGTCACTGGCCGTCTGCACTTCCGCACCGCACCGCTAGGGGTCGCTGCGGCGCGTCCCGGGCAAGGCGGAAGCGGCTTTCTGGCCTGCGTTTTATAGTCCTCTCTGTGCTTCCTGTTTCCTCTTTCACCAGGGACCCGCCAAGATGGTAGGTGTTTCAGCTCGAAGCTGGTGTCTCCCACAATCGACCGCCATCCGACGCTTTGTGCGGTCCTCAGCCCTCAAGATAGAGGCGCCGGGCCCTGTGAGGCCGGAGCCTCCGCGGGCCGCTGGCTTCCGCGCTGACATCCGCGCTCCAGCATCGTCTGCCGGGCCCTCTTCATTCCTCTCCCGGGCTCGACCCCAGCCCGCGAGCCCTGCTGCCGTCGGGGCGTGACGCCGCACTCTTCCCAGGAAGGGTGTTCTGCCTCGCGTTGACGCTGTCTTCTCCACCCGTAGGGCCGCGTTCGCACCAAGACCGTGAAGAAGGCGGCCCGGGTCATCATCGAAAAGTACTACACGCGCCTGGGCAATGATTTCCACACCAACAAGCGCGTGTGCGAGGAGATCGCCATAATTCCAAGCAAGAAGCTCCGCAACAAAATAGCTGGGTGAGTGGGGTCGGCGCTCGATCTCCAGGGTCGCGGAGGCTGGGGTGGCTCCGCGGTCCCCGGACTCGGGAGGCGACTGTACCTTGGAGGTTTCGCTAGCGGCAGTCTCCCTAATTGCGCCGGAGGAGGGCGCTGCAGGGGTGCGTTTGAGGGTTTCTTTTTGGGAGTCTTTTCAAATATTAAGTACAGTACATTCGACCTCGGAGGAGAGAAAATGAAGGCTGGGCGGCGGCGTGAATATTTGAGGGGCGGATTTGATGGCTTTGAAAAAATCTGCATAGAGAGTGTGACAGGCACCAAAGGGACAGGCGTGCTTAGGTAGTGGACCTGTGTATAAAGTTCAGAGTCAGGGCCCCTAGGATGACGAGTCCTCTCCCTTCTCACTGGAAAAAGAAATAAAAACTGCTAACTCGTGTATCCGGATGTTCTGTGCACCAAGAGGGAGCTGCTGTGTGCAGTTCTCAGTGTTCTTGGGCATTTGTCCTTTGTAGCTATGTGACACATCTGATGAAGCGGATTCAGAGAGGCCCTGTACGCGGCATCTCCATCAAGCTGCAGGAAGAGGAGAGAGAAAGGAGAGATAATTATGTTCCCGAGGTAAACTTCTTGGTTCTTTCTCAGGGTCTCTGGCTCATCCTGAAAGAGAAATCAGGCTCCTGAAAACCCTGTCAGCTCCCTGGTTCCTAAGGGGACCTCAGCTGAGTTTGAGAAAGGGGTCCTTTATCCATCTACCCCCTAACCAGCTGTAGGTGCCCATAACCCACCTGCCTGTATGTCAGTCTCTGTTCTGCTCTGTTGGAGCCATTTAAGTCCATTCTGGTTTTCACATGAGCACCCTTAATGATGTTTGTTTGACTTAGTGTTTTCTGGTTTCATTATTTGCCCTAGCCTGAGTATAAACCTAGGCTTAAGGTTTTCTGAATACTGGTAAGATAACGAGGGCACTGAAGGTAAAAGCAGAAGAACTGATCTTTGGGGCCTGTAAGCTTCAAGCTGACGGCTCAACTTACGGCATCCTATCCTTCCCTTTGGCCAGTCCCCCTCACTTGTTGAAGAATCTTGGGGAAAGGGCAGGGGAGGTGACAGATAAACTCACTGATTAATATTTGGTCCTTCCTTGCTCCTTCTAGGTCTCAGCCCTGGATCAGGAGATCATTGAAGTTGATCCGGACACTAAGGAAATGCTGAAGCTCTTGGTAAGTGTTTGCTGAATTCCCAAAGTACACCTTCCCAGGCTGGAACCATCAGTAGCTTTCTACTGGTTGTAATACAAGCTAACAACTTGTTGGATCCTTAAAACATACCGGTATTCCTAGCGTTTTCCAGGCATTATCTTATTTCATCCTGTGTTCTATGACTGGCTTCCCATATTTGCCTGCATGGTTCCAGCCCTGGTTCTCGTCCTTCTGCCTGCTTTCCCTCGGGGACTTACTTCTGTGTCTGTATGCTAACCACTCGTGAGCTTTGGTCTCATTTCCAGATGCTTGTTACCAAGCACTGCTTAGATAGTTCAGCTGTCTTCACCACGGGTTGATACGTATCTCTTCTGTGGCTTATCTTGGTGCGTGTATGTAGTTTTAGTATGGCCTTCAAAGTCCAATGGGCGATTAGTGATTTAGAGCAACTTCATGTTTCATTTTTTATCATAAAATGTTTAAGACATTCAAAAAGATGAACAGAGTGAATCCGTGCGCCCAAAAACCGTTTAGAAAAATGTTACCAGTACAGCTAAAGCCTGCTGTGAATCATCCTGAAATAACCACTATCCTGATTGCAACTTTTTAGTTTCGATGATAAAATAGGGGATTAAATTCCATGTATTTGCTGGGCCCTTGAGTTCTTTGCCCCACTCAGACTGAGCTGACTTAAAGGTAGGCCCTTACCTCGACCTCCCACCTGGGCCCCTCACACATGTGGAATGCTCTGGGCCTACCATTTGTGAGGCCTACCTGAGGCTGGTCCTGGAAAGGAAGTGGTACTGTGTGTGTCCTAGAGCATTGGTTCTCAAAGGGAGAGATTTTGCCCCACTGGGGGACATCTAGTAATGTCTGGACACATTTTTGGTTGTCACAGCTTGGAGATGCTAGCAGACATTAGTGGATAGAGGCCAAGGATGCTGCTAAACATCCTACAGTGCACAGGGTCCTTGAGATTTCTAGTAGATGCTATGAGTTTATTGCTCTGCTTCAGGGAGGAGGTCCTCTGTTGGGATTCTTCAGGGTCCCATCAACCTGACCCTAATCTGGTAGAGGCTGACAAGCACAGCCTGGCAGTGGTCCTTGGGCACTGCCCACAGATCTCACTGGTAAAGCCACACTGAATGCATTTTGTTGTTCCAGGACTTTGGCAGTCTGTCCAACCTGCAGGTCACTCAGCCTACAGTTGGGATGAATTTCAAAACACCTCGTGGAGCCGTTTGAATCTTCCTGCTGTGCTGTCATAGTTTCAATAAATCATAGACAAAC